TGAGTTCTCTCTAAATCTAGGAAAGGAGAGCACATCACCCCAGTTCTAAAGTAGCTCAGAGAACAGACTTTGAAACACTGTTGTTAGTTTATAAATCACCAACTGACTTAGAATCTGTATACATCAAAAATATTATCTACTATGCAAGGTTTCCCACAGAAAACCTGCTAAGCCCAGTGGTTGTTCACTGGGGCAGTCATTCATCCAGCGGGCCGTCATGTTTTTGAGTTAGAATCAACTCAAAAAGTTGACAGAAAATACTAATATATCACTTCATAATGATGTGTTATTAGAAGATTGGATGATTAATGTTTGAACATCAACTATGAAGTCTTAAAAATGCAAACATTTTAAAAAGATACTTCAAAAAATAAGCAATGCTTAGCCTGGTGGGGGACAAGTAAAGCCTGGTGGCCTCCCAGGATTCTGATGCACTGTGGGAAACTGATTATGTCATGCAGGTGTTCTGGTTCAAGTCTACTCTGCACCAGAACCAAACCCAAGCATGGAGAAATATCATTAAATTTTTTTATAACCAGTGAATTGGGAATGAACTTCCAGAAAACTGCAAAGATCCCTTTAATTAATCGTAACTGGAACATTGATTTGATGTACATTTGATGGCATTTCACAAAATACATATTGTCTGCATATTCGGAACGTGCATCAATGGTTGGATAGGGCATCTTGACTGCTTTGCATTCATCAAAAAGAAATGAAAGGGAAACATCTGACTGATTGAAAAACACATCAACTCCAGAGCAGCTGATGCCTGACTGATATAAGTCGCGTTTGCTCACTCCTGCCTTCATAGAGATCTTCCCTCAGGCTAGGAGAGTAGGCTATTTATAGTAGGCTCATTGTTGTTGCTGCAACGGGACAGTGTGTCCTACTTACACAGGAGCTGATATTACATTTAAAAAAGTGTTGATGTCACACTCTCTTGTATAAGGAATCATCCTCACAAGATGAGGGCGTGGCCAGCAGAGGGACGGATGCCGAATCCGACTCGACTTCAACGCGCCGCAGGCGAGAAGTCCTCTCAGAATCCGCTTCATGTGCTGCAGAAAGAGGCCTCCGATGTCTAATTGAATGTCTCACATTTAATGGGAAGGTAATCCAAAACTGTTTGAAGAAACACTTTGTGTGACTGTGAAGGGCAGATAGAGAAACTCATATTTCTCTTGGTTAATCACACATTTCCCAGCGCTGCATAAAACATATCCCCCCTGCGTCCAAGGTAATGGAAACAGATGTAGATGAAGGTCAAAGTAAAGTCTGTCTGTCCATCAATAATGAAGATTATTATGTGCAGGGTAGAAACCGTCATATTCAGAAATATGAACAAAGAACAGAAGGTTAAGACATTGAAGCTTTCACAGAAGGATAAAAGTGTGCTAAGACACAAAAAGGAAGCACATGACTAACACGTAAATCCAGCTGCATAGATTTTAAAAATGATTTGAAATGACATATTTCTGAGCTTTTATCTTCTATGTTCTCTTTATTTTGTCTGTTTAGCACTACTTTTTTTATTATTAATGATACTGACTGCACTTCACTGGAATTGAATGCAAGCCTAACATTTTTTTTTTATCAAAGATAATCAACTTACATGCAGATGTCTGTATCTTCATAATGAGTAGAAGTCTGGATATTTATCAGAATAAGCATTTATTTCATCATAAAAAAATTACACATAATCAAAAATTATAATTATTACTCAAATTAATTAAGATAAATGGTAAATGGCCTTTATGTAGTTCATAGGACTACAAAACGCTTAAAGCTAGTTGTTGACGCACTGAACTGGTCCACCCCTGCACTTTGCACCTTGTGCATTGTCATGGTGCCTGGTCTGAATTTTTACTCTGGCATTTACAGAAATCCTCTGAGGGCTGATTTTCAGAGAATCCTGCACCAAGGTACACATCAAAATTAAAAGCCCACGAAATCGTTCGACTTGCTCCATCAGAAACTCTTACAGCATGACTATAACTCAGCCTTTGCACTACATTCAGTCTCCATGTGCTTGAGGTCCACAGCTGGCCTGGTGCAGAGTGACAGAAGCAAAGTGGCACCAGGCTCCATGACCACCTGCAGCAGCGAGGCAGATGAAGTGTCTTGCCCAAGAGCACAACGACAGATTGGGAGTTCGAACCATGCAGCCACACAAGGTCCATTTACTAAAAACTTGCAGACTTGCAAAGACAGGCATTTAGAAAATGGATGGATAAATTATATGTTTCTTGTTTTCAACAGCGAAAAATTGAATGGACTCGTATCAGATATTTTTTGTTTTAATTGTTTTGTCAAAATACAGCAAAACTCAAGCAATTTTAGCTTAGTGTAATCATTCCACACCAGTCTCTCAAAAAACAGGCACAGTGAGGAAAACACACCCATGTTTCCACAGACTCTGCTCAACATCAAAGAAAAAACAAGCTATCCAACTTAGAAAAGGGCCTGCAGAAATACAAAACATGACTTTTACTTTAAGCAAGAGATTTAGAGAAGCAAAACAACAGAAAGCTCTATGAGTCACCAAGGGAATAGGTTTGGGAACTGCATCAGTGTTTGTGGATCTGGCTGTCCAGATCCCTTAACAAACACTGATGAGGAGTGATGAAGGCAAAGCGACTTAGTCAGACAGAAAGCCATAAGGCTGAGTAGATGATACAGGCGGACAACGATCAGTGCACTGCTCTGTGGATCTGGCAGTGTGGTCAGACAAGAGTCAAGCTTTAGCAAAAAAGCTTCATCACTGTCAGCTGGGGATATCCTGAACAGAAGAGGAAAAATCCTGCCTTAATGAAGCAAATATGAAATTATTTGGCAACAATTCCCAACTGTGTGTGTGCATGTAAGAATTCAAGCTGCTCATTTTGATTACCATCTCTGCATTCCAGATGCTGGCAGATGCGTCGTATTGCAGGGATGTTTTTCTTTTCTGACACAAGCTCAGCAAGTAGTCAGGGATGAAGTGGGGAAAAAAAATCACAGGATACTTTTAAAGAAAACATAAAAAGTCATCACAATGTTATACTTCATTGAAGATTTCAGCTTCAGAAGAGGGGCAGCAATTTCATTGAGTAAAGTCGACTTCCTGGATGATGCACTCCACAAGAAGAAAGTTACTGCTCAAAGAAAGTCAAGCAGTACTGTTCGCAGTTTGCAGTAGACCAAGAAGAAAACAAGGTACAACGAGGTCCTTTGGCCAGAGGAGACCCACATTTCTGCATATAGGTCAACTTTTTGGCCTACATAGAAAATTCTTTGTGTAGCAAAATGACTAACACTAAAACATCACCCTAAACCCTGCAGATGCTGCTAAATACAGGAGAATTGTATTTGTAACTTATTTTCTTCTGCACTGAAGTCAAAGCTACAGAAACATAAAACACTGCCCCGTATAACCATCTTATTTTAATATTTATCGGTGCTCTTATGGAACCTAAAGAAGAAAAAACAGTATATGTATAGGACAGCCACTTTTTCTTGGTGTTTTCAAACATCATTAGGAATTTATAGTTGCTCAAACAAATAATCAGAATTAGACACAATCACAATTAGATACAGTATATAAACAAAAGCAGGTTTTAGCTGTTTTTATCTTTTTCATGACATAATTACACTGAATTTGTTGGGATCTCTTTTGTCATTAATTTGAAAACTGTTTTCTTTTTGTTTTTTGAAATGACATTTCCATTGAAGAAAATGTGTCCTTCCTCATTTTGTAAAACCACAGGGAAAAGTTGTGGTTCTTTAAATATGACGATACATTTTCTACAATACATATTTATCTTTTTTGCTTATCCTCATATAATATTTGGGATTCTAAGCAAGGTTTCTTAACTGATCCGAATGTAAAAATAGCTCTTTGGGTTGTAAATGTTGCAGCCTCCTGTTTTAGATTAACTAATATTTTTGTGTTAGGCTCAGTCAAATTACAACAGAAAATCTGTGGTGCTGCTTGAAAAATTAAAATTCAATCTGACTGAACTTGACCAAATTTAAGAAATCAAACGGGCAAACGTTTCAGCCTACATGTTCATAAATATTTTGGTGTACAATTGTTGCTACCAACTAAAATATGAAAAATTATTCCAGGCTTCTGTTATAAGCTACGGGTTCTGAACCTGTTCTGGGATCAGCTGGAGAAACGGCAGCAGGACGTTTCTGTTTGGACGCGATTTGTAACCAGATACCAGAATTGTTTCTGTACATTTCATGACAAGCTGATGATTGCAGGAAATATTTCAGTTTCCTCCAAGTTTTCAAATTATTTAAAAGTGTAAATTAAAGGTTTTTGAATGAATCTTAAAAAAGTAAAACATCATAAGCTCAAATTCTCAGTTCACCACATTGAACTAATCCAAGAAAGTCTGAAAAGTCTTAACTTGGTTCTTATTTAATAGGCTACATAAATAAACATTAAAAATTCTCGAGTGAAACAACAAGCAGCTAAGTCGTGGAAAAAAGGGACTGATGATCATCAAAACACGGAGGAGCAGGCTATGTAGTTCCTCTATGTGAATTAAACCCAGGTGACCTCTTACTACACACATGCAGTTGCACAAAGACATGAGTGCATCAATAACGAGATCAGGGAATAACAAGCTTTGATTGAAAGAACCCAGATTGGCTGTTTTAACATCGCTTCCAAAATGAAAATTTTGAGATGTGAGGCAATCATGATGCACTCGAGGAGCTTAGGGTAATAACAAAAAAACGAGAAAAATGTGGAGCCAAATACCAAGAAAACTGTCCTATTTTACAGAGTTTGTCTAAGGCCGAGAAGTCTGAAGAAAGAGAGGAATAAACATGTTTTCTCTTGCTCAAAAGATAAAACATGCAGAAAAATTTGGATAGAGAGGAAGAAAAAAAAACATCATGATCTTAAAGATTCATTTTCTGATGTTCAAGGACAGATTTGCTTCCAGTGTGCTACTTTTCTTTAGCAGAACTAGGCCGAGCAGCAGTGTGTGTTGGCTCAGTACCTCCTGGAGTATTAAGTCGATCCTATCCACCTCACAGTCGATGAGAAAACGTTTCTCCTGTCGGTTGTCCATCTCCCTGATGATTTGTGTGTACGTTGAGACGTTCACGTTCCCGACAGAGCGAGCCGTCACCTGCCAGTTATTGGCTACAGCCGACTCCATTATGGCCTGGAGGATTGCAAAGCCTTTGGGGGGGATAAAGAGGAGAGCGCTCCATTACTGAACAGTTTTTTTGGGGTTTTTTGGATGACAGAGAAACACACAAACATAAAAAAGTGAACAGGCTTGACGAAGAAAAAGAAACAGCACAGATTCAGTTTTCAAAAGTTTAACATTTCCATAACAAATGTGATCCTGCAGTTAGTTTTTTAAAAAAAAACTCACATATATTTGTCACATTACTACTAGAAACTTTTAAATATTTGTTGCAATTTTAGGTGATAGACCAACACAAAGTTGCTAAACTGTGAAGAACAAGATTATTTTTCTCACAAAAAACGAATCAAACATGCATTTGTATCCATCATCCCTGAGTCAAAACCTGTATGACTTTTTGCCACAGTTACAGTATTCTTGGGGGACACATCGTCACCAGATTTGCACATATAACCCAGGGTTTCCCCCAGAAAACTTGCTAAGCCTGGTGGCCTGTCGTCATTTTGTCTTAAAAAATGTTTAAAGTTGATAGAAAGTTTTAAAATATTACTTGATAATTATGTACTATTGGAAGATTATTGCTTGAATACTGACTATAACGTCTTAAAAAATGCTAATATTTAAGAAAACCTAAAGTAAATAAACAATGCTAAGCCTGATGGGGGCCCAAGTAAAGCCTGGTGGCCCGCCAGGCTTATAATATAGTGGGAGAAACCCTGTAACCTGAATTTGTTTCCTGTTGTTCTTTGCAAAACACCTTAAGTTCAATAAGAACAGCCAGAGAGCATCTGAAAACATCTATTGTTGAGTTTTGTCAAAGCTTCTCAATTAGATTAAGGTCTGAGCTTAAACTGGGTTGTTGAAAGACATGAGGTTCCTCTGATCTACACCACGCCATTGTAGTTCTGGCTGTATATTTTGGGTCAATGCCATGCTAGAAGCTAGACTACTTCCTCAATATTTGCATCTCTTTGTTGGAAAATGACCTGCCCACATTCAGTCATTCTCCAATTCACGCACACATTCACACGCTGGTGGTACATTACACCAGCAGGCAAGCCGAGTGTAACTGAGACAGACATAGCGGGGATTCGAACCACCGCGGTCAGCCCGACTCGCCCTTCCACCAACCTCTAAACTCCCACCAGCTGAATGAAAACCTTCCCACAAACAGCATTTTCTGTTTTGACCAAAAACTACATTTGTGTTCTTCAGTGATCAGAGCGCCTGGCATCTACTGCGTGTCCTACAGGGCAAACTTCAAACTGCACGTATTTTGCCTAGCCTTTAATATTTTCTCTACTTTTGCTACTCTTCCTCAAAGGCCAGGTTTGTAGAGTGCACAATTAACAGTTGTCTTGGCAACAGATTTCCATCCCTGAGCTTCGGATCCAGAGTTACATCAGGCCTACGTACGTGATAGATGCTCTCTTTGCCAAGGCTGTCAATTTGCCGGGTCTTGGCTGTTTCGCGGTTGTGTCAGACCTTTTCCAATTCCAGAGGAAGGACTGAACATTATTTTTTTTGTTGTTGTCCAAAGATTTTGATTATTTTTTATAACCTAACCCTGCATTTAAACCTTTTTCTTGGTCTCCATGATATTTGCTCACTATGTTCTCTAGCAAACCTTCACAGAAGAGCTCATACTGAGATTAAATTAGCCACTGTAAAGACAAATGCTAAAAATAACTAAAACAACAAAGAGAATACAGACTGAAGAGTTGCACAGTCTGGTGCCACAAAAAGATTAAGTCAAAACTGTGGGTGCTACACCCTAAACAGCAGGTTTAGAGTGGATAATTAAACTATTAACTGGGCAATTATGGCATTTTTGGTAACTCTCATCTCACACTTAGATGTTTCATGCCTGGTGGAGGAGTTCAAACTAACAAATCCACAGCCAAGAATCAACCTGAACTGCAACAATAAGACTTGAGAAACGAACTGACATCTATGCAGTAAAATGGGCTGTGGCTCAGACGACACAATTGATGTAACTTAACGGCGTGTTGACTCTGCAGAGCTCACCGCAGCGGGTGATGAAAGTATGTGAGTTATAAGAAAGGGAGAAGCTGAGCTGACAGTAACAGGGCTGAGCTGTGATGCTAAAAAGTCTCATCACAATGAGGGCAGAGTCGAAACGGTGATGATTTATTAAAGGTTTCAGGATTTATGGTCAGCAGTCATGACAGGTTTTCTATAAATCAGCTGAAAACAACCAAGTTCTTTTCTTTTACTTCTTAATATTTTAAGTTCAATTAAATTATATAAATTAGTGTTAGGCTTCAAAATGTGCTTGAAGCATTTGAATAAAGTTACTGGGAAATATATTATTTCTAAGCAACGTTAGTATTTTTGTTTAAGGATGTGAAAAACTTTATCTTTTAGTGCAGGAGGCTAATTTCCAAAAAAATCCACCTTTTAATTCAAGGCAATTTATTGAGTGGAGCAAAATCCCAAGTTCAGAAATAATTGCTTGAATTCTTACCGTTTTAAAAACCATTGCCACCCTTATTCTTACTGCAGCCCTAAAATGTATGAAATTATTTTAGAAGTATACTTTAATATTTATTTTTTTTGTTAGAATTCTGGTATTTATTAGTATAAGGAACTTTACTTCAGAAAATTGCTTGTACTTTCTGAAGTTTAAATATACATGACACAGAAACCACTGCATCATGTATTGGGAACAGTTTCCCCAATTTGAAGCTGCTCTTTAAATTGGGAAAAGTGGAATGTGATCAACAAGGCTGGTCAAAGTCTCAGGAATTATGGAAGAAATGTAGCAATGATAAAAGCAAATACGAGAACCAAATACCTTCAAGTAGAACTAATGTGTGTAAACTCCACAATAAATCTTGAAAGGAAATTAAACTGGCATTTTGTCACACAACAATCGTTTTCAGCACCGTTTTACAGTCAGAAGTCCACCTTTTCTAAAAAAATAAAATAACATAAAAAATATCCCCAGCTGAAGTCCAGTGATCAACGTTTTGGTTCACTGAGCTGTGTGAGTTGATGTTGAGAATGGATGCCCGCAGGAAGTTGTGTGTTGTGGCAAAAAGTGGCATCTTGAAGTCACCAACTGTCCATAACAAGCATATGACAGGATCTATCTGCCAAAAAAAAAAACTTAGGAAGCATAAAAAAAAAGATCTGCTTGCAGATTCCTTCATATGCTGTTCAAAAAAAGGCCCTTCAAGCATTGTTTGAAGTGCATTTTTTTATGTAGTAAAATGTACATTTTTGGTCATCAATACTTATCAGAATTTGACAAATGGAGATGTGCCTCGATCATCAACTCTCATGGATAAACATATCCATAGAAGCAACTGATAGTTAAGATATGCAAGTCAATCTTTTTGCATTGACCATTTTAATAGCATCTCCTATTAAAAGCGTAATTTTTATTTTATAAGCTGCTGCGCAAAAAGAAACATTATTAGTTTTTACAACGCGTGCAGTGAATAAACTAATTCCTAAAGGTTATTTACATATCTTTAAATTACATTTACTTTTCTGCTTCCTGGGTAAGATCTTTGTAAACCCAGCATTTGGCTAATAAATGTGCATGAGAGAAAAATGGGACAGAGCCACAGGCATGAGGCTTTTTAATATTATGTGTCCCTTGTCAAATGTCTGTACGCCTCAAACTGCACAGCTAGAAACGGCTTTATTTTGATGTCAAATGGAACAAATACCTTTAACTGCTCGTGTTATTTATCACATTACACATATTTATATTAAAAGACCTCACATTATAAGCACTCTAAGAGATTCATGCATGACTCGCAACATTGGAAATAGATCAGAAATGTGGATACAGGCGGTGAAAAAATATAAGACAGAATCTTACAGAGTTAAATATATGTCCTGGTTAAAGACAAAAAAATATGCCCCAGAATAGATACTGATTATACAAAATGAGAGGCATCATAATATGTTAGAGGAAGCATTAAGCTGCAGGAAATTGAAGATATTTCAGTTGCTGAAAAAAGGCAGTTTATGAAAATATTAGTAAATCAATGTTCACAGGTAATCTCTGTAAGAAAATTTACTTTACGGCAAGTTAATGGTAATTGCTTATTATTAAACATAGTTAGGACTGCATGTAGTGTTTCATGAAAAAAAAATTCAATACTGAATTGACTGGATAATAGTCTTTTACAAAACTGTGGAGGAATTTTTGCACCCATTCTCTTTTGAAGAACTGTTTTCATTCACCCTCCTTGGAGGGCTTTTGAACTCAAACCATTTAAGATTATGCGACAATCAAATTTACGTCCGAGGTATTCCTGAGGCACTTGAAAACATTCATTCTATATTTGAAGCCATTCTGAGACAGAGTTATGAGAGTGGTGCTACCTAAAGGCACAACTTGATGATCAAATATTGTTTTGCAGCATTTCCTGAATCCATGATTCCATTAATTGCAGCAAGCTGACCAGGTGCTGAGACAAAAAGCTATGTTTGACTTCCTAAAATGTTGTTTTATATCAAAAGTTCCACTTGGATACATGGAAGTTTATAGTTTTAACCTGACAATATGTGAAAAACCTCAAGAGGTGAATACTTTAGCCGTCCACTGTAGCTTATCTTTCATTGGCTTTCCGTCTTTGAAACATCTCTTTTTCAGCTACTTTTTGATCATGTAACTTCTTGATCTGGGCATTAGTTAGAAAGCTCAATCACCTGCTCCCCAGTCTAACAACCCTGCTGCTACCATGGTTACTCATCATAAAAGATTTGTAAAAAAAGTGGCAGAAGTACCAACGGAAATGACTCAGACAACACAGCCTCTATATCAGAGCAGAAAAACCTCTCAAAAATTGCATTTTCAATCAGAAAAAGAACTCCACAGAAAAACCTCAAAGATGACTGGAGCTACATCTTTCCGGGGGGAGTTTCGAGCTGCAGCAAACAATATGTTAAAAAGGTCTAAAATCATTTAAAACAAGTATATCTCTGAGCATTCAAAGGACCCATAATAAATATGCGGCCCATTTTGGCTGTTTCTCTTTGTCGCTCC